GAATATGTTCCTATGTGCTTGGTCATCCCATCCGTTAGGGGGAGGGGGGGAAACAAATAGGGAGAACGCAAATTTGCAATGCACAAAGTGTACAGTTTACAGTGTTTACATAGGATAAGAATTATCTAGCCAGATCTACTACCATGCAGCGGATTTTACGTTCTTTGGGGGATTCTAGGTGTGTTTTTCAAAAGGCCATTCATGAAACTATATTAGAGGTGTCTGGCTTCTATTAATGTTATGTCCTTTGACATCCAGTCAGAGAAAGATAAAAGATGGCATTAACTTCTCACAGTGGAGTGAAATGAACATGTTAAAAGAAATGAGCAAATACTAAATAGATGTGCAATGCAAGGTGACCCAGTCGACTTTAACAGAGTACCAAAATATAATCAAATAAAACCTATGATCTTTAGACTGGAAAAATGGTGAGCCAGGAAGGCAAACACAATTTTTAAATCTGCAAAGACCAACTGAAATAAATCATGCATAAATTGTAACATGCAGCTGAGTCCGCTACAACCACTTGATCCTTGCAAGGGCATCAATATTGAAAGGATGAGCTTGAGTCAGGGTGAGCTCAGCTTTCCTTGGAACATCATCCCTCCTGCTACTCACTCTCTCCACATTATACAATCCACAGAAGCATCAATGCAAACAATCTATTATATACAAAGTGAAACTGCACTCTATTTCCCTCCATCACTCTCTGTCTAGTAAGCCAAACAGCTAGCTGTTTTGTTGAAGATAGCCACCAGCAAACCTGTTTGAAACTGGGAATGGGCCTTCTTCTGCCCAAAAGCACCATTCTTAGATTCACCTACTTTTTAAGCTTATTTAAAATTTATCCTTTGCTTTTCTATTAAAATACAGTGGTACCTTGGGTTACATACGCTTCAGGTTACATAAGCTTCAGGTTACAGACTCTGCTAACCCAGAAATATTACCTCAGGTTAAGAACTTTGCTTCAGGATGAGAACAGAAATCGTGCTCCGGTGGCGCGGCAGCAGCAGGAGGCCCCATTAGCTAAAGTGGTGCTTCAGGTTAAGAACAGTTTCAGGTTAAGAACGGACCTCCAGAACGAATTAAGTACTTAACCCGAGGTACCACTGTAATAACCCAAATGGCTTAAAAAATAAATACAGCAAAGTATGTCGAGAAAATGTTCCCATTCAATTGAATGGAAAACACAACATCAATTAAGACAAGAGAGGCAGCCACACTAAAACTTCAAAAGAAACATAAATAAACATCAGTTCTGAAGGATAGCCCTACCATTGTGCAGAACAAGGTGACTACCTGGAGTCAGGGTACAGTGGAGAGGGCAGAGATGGGTATGCTATGGCACCTATCCTTTGTCCCCTAAGTAAGTCTGTTGTTCTCAGATGCAGCGAAAGAAAGATGCTGTCCTGTCACCAGTGTTGGATTAACTGTGACACATGTGTTGGTAACCTCACATTTGGACTATTGTAATGTGTTCTGTGTGGGGCTATTCTCTTGCAGTTAGTGCAGAACACTGCAGCCCTTATCAGGTACATATCACACTAATGCCCTCAATAATTCTGAACCTGAAAAACCATTTCCCCCTCCACTGCCCAGTAAGTTTTGCCACAACCTGATTAGGTTGTGGTAACATGGAGGCTGGCTTTTTCACTAGTGGTATCAGTGTTTTGGAATGCCCTCCTTGCTAAAATACAAGAAACTCCATCAGTCTTGACATCCCACCAGCTCTTAAAGACACAACAGTACTTTGTGTCTTTGTGTCATAAAGTACTCCTCTCCACCTGCACATCAAGCAAAAATATCAGCTCAAGTAATACCCCCAAACTATGGAACTGCTGCTTCAGAGGTAGTTCAACCCTATCCAGAACAGATTGGATCCATTTCCAAATCTCCAGAACAGTTGATCAACTACCTTGTCTGACTAACTTTAGGATTTGTTCACTCTCATCCACCCCATCTACACTGGAAAATTTCCATGTGATAGCAAGCAGTCCTGGCAACTACCAGCAGACTTTGCATGCAATGGAAATTATTCATATAGTAATCTGCTCTAGATATTAACAGCCCCAGTATGACAAATATGGGAGATATCCAATGCCCTCATTTCATTACTACAAGATTTCCATTTGTGCAACAGAACCCTTCCTTCCTCTCTCCAAATCTATTTTGGAAGGTTGGGTGTACCCCCAGAACAGATTTAAAGGGAGGATTAAGGGGAGGAGAGGAGAGACAAAGTTCCATTGAACAGGCATGGCTGGGCAAGATTGATAAATAGTCTGACTTTGTATAAGGCAGCTGCCTATGTTCCTAAATACTATCCCAACACAAACTAGACAGCCATGTGCAATCAAAAGGTCCTAGAATGCTCATCATTTGCCTGCTGCCATGCGGGGGGTGGTGGTTAGAATGAATTGGAAAGTATTTGTGTAAAAGATTTTGAAGGCACAGGGTGCTTGAAGAGCTCTGCTAAAGAGAATAAAATACACACTGTGTTGAAACTGCATACCAAAGATATCTAAAGATTGCATTCAGGCTTCAAGTACTTCTTAACCTCTCCAACCAGATTCATGTCACCAAGAATATAACTTAATAGACTGAGAAGTTATATCTAAAAGGGAAAACTGCATCTTTACATTATAGGATGGTAATAAAATCCCATAGCAATTATCCCATTGTTATGCTCAAAATAGGTACACTCTTTCATGCCTTAATTTTATGTTTTGCTTTGCCCTGTGCTAAAAGCACCAACATAATTATGCCCTCCAATATCCTTGCAAAATCTGCTCAGAGTGATTATTTGACTCTCTTTTTATTTGTGGAAAGTAGCTAATATTGTTTCAGGCTTTTTATCAAAATAAATGCATGATTGGCTTTAACCATTTCCCCCCTATAATTGTTTAAAAAACGAGTTTGCTAATAGATGGAAGAGAAGAAGGTTAAATACTTTAATTTCCAACTTGCACACGCATGCATTGTAAAGAGTTTCTCATTTTGTGTAATTTAGGCACAACCACAGGACATAAATGATAATGTAAAAAAATAAAAACCCACCAAAAAAGGAACATGATGGTGTATATTACATGTGAATATGATTTCTGATTAATAATGGTGATTCAAATATATTAGTTCCCATTTAGAAGATACAATTGCAAGCTATTTTTATTTTTATGAATGCTTATGTGAAATAGTTTTAAATTTATCTTCACCATAAACCTAGAGCCTAAATCATCATTCAACTGTTGCAACATCATTCAAATATATAGTGCTGTTTTTTATATTAGTAATTAAGCCCATTCTATTTCATCATTCAAAATGTTTGAAAACTATTTATAATTCCCATTTAGAAAACCATGCCTAGGCAGCCACTATAATTCATTTCACAGATTTCAAAATAAAGTTTCCAAATATGGATCTGGAACCTTCCTACATATCTTTCTATGAATCCTTACATTAAGTCTGGTACTTATGTGAACACCACTAGTTCATATTTCTCACTTAAAGCACAGTCAGCCAGCTCAATCTTTTGCTTGCCTTTCAGGCTTACTTTGCAGGTTCTCGGTCTAAATGGTGTTGCAACCAAGCATCAAAAGCAATGGGTAAAGGGATGGTTGCAATGCCGAGCACTCAGTATTACAGGACCTTTCTCTTGGACCAGCACTTCATTAAATTGCCCCTCCCCTATTGGCCATGTCCAGACCAGATCAGCCTTAAACATAAATATAGGTACTTTAGTCCATTGACTTCAATGTGTATAGAGTAAGGTAAAACAACATAACGCTACTATCATAAATATGAAAATGATGGGGTATTAATGTCTTACAGAAAAATCACAATGGAAATCTGTTATACTTGTAAATCAAAAACGCATGTTCCTAGTTCCATTTGCTTGGCTTACAGCTGCCTTGTAAAGTGCTTCCGACAGATGTCAGATGGCATTGCCAGATGTCTATTTCTTCACATCTCAAAGCAATGCATATTAGTCAATGAAATGTTACTTCTCGCACTTATCTGTGCATTCAGAAACACTCGCATGTGTTTGTATAGGCTATGGGAGAACTGTAATGCAGGGCTATATAACCTAAATGACCTCAAGGGCCATTCCACTTTTTGAAGGGCCAAGGACTGCAACCATAATTTTATTGCCAAAATTGTCAGTTCCACCTCAGCTTAATGCACATTAATCTCTTTATCACTTTAATTTGTCCTTAGCTACTTTGGCATGTGAATTTGTCCAGTGCATAATACACCATCAAGCACCAGTTCTATAGGAAATTATTTTCTGTCTTGGAATGCTAACTGGGCATGTGCAGGTCTGCAGGGTTCCTGTGAAGTTTTAGTGTTTTCAAGAGTTTTCAAGAAGGGATAGCAGCTGGGAATTGTAGTTTCCAGAGCTCTGTGTGCCTGAGATGACGTTATGAGCATGTGCATGGCACCCTGAAACATGTTCTTACCTAAGCATCTGAGATCTTTACCAAGTACAGTGGTACCTCCGGTCGTGGACAGGATCCATTCCGGAGCTCTTGTCGGATCCCGAGGTTTCCGCAACCGGAGGTGCCTGTTCTGCGCACATGTGCGGCGCGATAGAGCGCTTCTGCGCATGCGTGTAGCGAAACCTGGAAATATATTTCTGGGTTTGCTGAAGGATACATAACAAGAGGCGCACATAAGTAGAGGTACCACTGTACTCTGTTGCCTTGTGAACAGCGTTTTTTGCTTTAGTATATTAAACATGGAAGGGTATTATTCCGACAGCCAGACATGTGTGAAGTAAATACATTTTCAAATATTAATAAGGTTGGGGAAAAAAGAAGTATCTCATAACCAAATAAAATCTCCAGGTCTTGACCAGGAAACAAACTTGTAGTATAGGCATGGTTGTGTAAAAAGCACAGACTGCAAAGCAGCTAATACACAGTATTGAAGAGGAATCACAGAATTGTAGAGTTGGAAGGGACCCCAGGGGCCATCTAGTCCAACCCACTACAATGCAAGAATCTCAACTAAAGCATCTGTGACAGATGGCCATCCAACCTTTGTTTAAAATCTCCAATGAAGGGGACTCCACCTCCTTCCAAAGGAGTCTGTCCCACTGTTGAGCAGCTCTTACTGATGTTTAGTTGGAGAATATTTGAGACTTTGCCTTCTTGATTTTTTAACAACCTGTGCTCAGTTATTTGACTTAAATACACACACAGTTTGCTGGATCACAGTCAAATTAGTGAAGTCCATTGATTTCATTGGATCTAATCTGAGAATGCCTTGCTTGACTACAACCCTTAATATTTATTTTGGTTGTTCTGAGAGGATTGTATATTTAAAAGATTCTAAATTTTTATGAGAGATGGCTAAGAATGTTAGAGGAACAATACATTTTTTGGATTAGAAGACCAAGCCAAACACACACACACCCCACACATACTCTGAGGTTTAATACACCCGGTTTTGCTGCTTGACTTGACACTGACTTAACACTGGCTGTGGGTTCGGGTGTAAGTCAGATCAGTTTTCATGGCCTACAGACTGATAGGATAACTTCTGGTACAATAAAGTACTGTACTACTTATGCATCAGCTAAGAGAAAACAAAAGGAAGACACCTTTATAAATACTTCTGCTAATTTATATGAGTAGGTGCTGATTTAAAAATAATTACTTTTAAGTAGACATATAATACATCTGACGGCAACTTCAAGGCCACAGCTCTCTCAGACTTGGATTCAAAGACCTTCATACAGGCAACTTCTGTAGAATAGGGCACATGGCCACCAAAGAGTGATGAGATAGGAATTCAATTAGAATGAAGCTCAAGGACCATCATTTGGAAACCTCTGCTCTAGGGGATGCAATCATGTGACTAACGCAGCTGGATAGAAGACTTCGTTTTCAAAACTAGGTAAGAGAATAAGAACAAAACCATTTCAATTGAAAAGCTTTTATTATACGGTGCTCAACTTTTCACTGAAGGTTAGAGAGACTTTTCTTGAATTCAGTAGTCCTACTTAAGGATAACAAAATCATATCATTGTTAAGGACCTCAGAAATTACAGCACTACATGATAAACTGCTCTGTCTCTGTTTTATATTAATACTTCATACATATAAGCTGCTCTAAATTTAATGCTCTTGTAAGGAAGGTTAAATACTACAAAACTTCCATACAGCAAAAGCCTGGAACTCTTAATGCATCAGATTTTCTACTTGGTGATTGTTCAGATGGTATTACATCTTAATGGATTCCTTTTTAAAGAACTAGATTGTGATTAATTGCAGTGCATGATTATGTACATGAAAAGGATTGGTCTGAACCTTTGCCCTAACCATACACCAGGGTAAAAGGAAGTTATAAAAAGGTGATGATTTAATCATTTTACTGAAATAAAACTGTGACATCTTAGCAGACACAAACAATCCTATTTATGTGTTAAATGAACACCATTTTTATTGCCCAATGTAAATGCAAGTCATGCACAACAAATCAAGCAGGTGTCTAAAAGGGGAAAACATTCTTTTGAGCATTAACCCTTGGCAATATTTGTGTTTCCCAAATTAAGCTGGAAATAAGCCAGTTTAGTGTAATGCCTAGAACACTATTTGGACATGTGAAACATCAATGCAAATATCTACATAGCCATCATTTTTCTAGATAGCTATGAGCATGTTACCATCTCTCTGCCAAGTTACAGAATTATTGTGAGGATAAAATAGGAAAGACATATATACACCAGCCTTAAAGGAGAATAGGATAAAAAGGAGATTGCAAGTGCTCCTTTGTTATTTATTAACACACATAGAGGACATACTCTAGATTTATATAATGACCATTAAAATAGACACTACTTGTATAGAAAACTAACAGAATTAGAATGTGTGTGTGATTTATTTATTTAGTCTGTGCGCACATGTGTGTGTTTGTGCGCGCACACGCACACATATACACTCTACAGAAAGCACATGAGAGGACTGCAAAATTGCTTTGTTTTAACATTTACTGCAAACCATGCCAATATTTGGCCACAGTATTATAGCAGACCTGGGTGCAAGTGCTAATCAAGTGGAAATGCTAGTAGACATTTATTAGCATTTATTTATAAAATCAAATACTTCTTTTCAAAAAAAAAAAAAAGCATACACGAAATGGTTTTCATTTTTTTTAAGAGTACATCTTTTGAGGGTAGGCTCAATTTGCACAAATTCATATTTGTGTCTAAAAAATATAAGACTTGGACTAATCTCTGCCTGAGATGAAAATTGTTTCCCTAGTCTACTGATTGAGGCCCATATGAATAGACCTATGCCCACCTGAAGGGATCCAGAGCAGATAACATTTTGTATGCACCTGATGAGCACTGAGCAGAATAGGATTAATGTACAGTATATATATCCCCAGTGCTAGATGCAGCAAAAGTGAAGAAGTCATTTGCCTGTTAGCCACAAGCTGATTCAAGTACAGATACCAGTTTCAACATATGGATGGCATTTAATAATCAAGTATTTAGACACATACATGAAATAAAATACGATTTGTGTATCCTGGGATTCGTGTATCCTGGGAGTTCCCACTGGGAAAAAAGAAACCAACTGAGATATTTGCCGTGCATCCAACAATGCAATTCAAATGGACTTGCTCAAGTTCAATCCTGTTTAGAAGAAGGGAAAAACTGTGGGTACTGTTCCACAGTTAACATTAGACGTAGCCAAAATTGCTTTGTTCCCCATGGGCCCAATCTGAAGTCAATAGATGTGTATACAAATGAAGATATGTGGAAACATTCTTACTAATTTTAAGATTTCATGGTCTATGTAAATTTGTGATGTGCCTCAATTAACATTTTCCCCACTTTAAAGCTTTGCAGTAAGAAAAAGCCAGGCATATTTTTTAAAAAAAATAAAGATGCACATATGATATAGCCTTATTTTTTGAAACAGTGCTTTTTCTGGGGCAACGCGGGGGGGGGGTACGCGTACCCCTTAACATTTTGTGAATCTAAGTTTGACCTCATTGAGGGGCAGTATTTCAATATGAGTAGGAAAATGAGAGTACCCCTAAACTTTTTTTTTTAAAAAGCACTGTCCAAAACATTTGGTTAAGCAATACATTTTGCTGAACTAACATACTGTTTGTGTAGTGTTATGTCCTTAAATGGTGCAGGCAAACAAACCTTGTGATCATCCATATTCAGAATAAATTTGACTTCACATAGAAATCATCCTAAATTTAAATGTGAAAAGGAATGCGGAAAGTAAGCGAAGTCTGATTGTTTTGGTGGCAGTATTAGGAAAACCAAACAATCTGCCTGACGTCACCAAAATAATGGAGAAGCATGATGGAGAAGCCAGCCATGAACACCTCGCAAATTATTATTTTGATCCAGTTGTTAAGAGAGAATTACAGCAAAACCTGCACTTTCCACAGCTATTAAAGCACTGACCCTAGAAGAGCACTCTTTTGTGCTGAACTTTTTTATATCACCAAGACTATTAATCAGGTGCCAGTTCAACTGATGTGCTTTATATAGTTGACCCCAACCAGTGCCTTAATTACCAGGTATTAAATGCTAATTAGGATTCTCTGCATTAAAGTTTAATTTCTAAAAAAAAGGAAAGAGTGAAAAATCTAAAAAGTATTGCGTTCCTTTGTTGTGTGCTACAGCATGGATGCAGGAGGATGCAGCAATTTGCTATTGACAAGCATTACAGGAGCAGGTCATTTCACAAGTATAGTGTGGACAAAGGTGAACTGGGCAACTGATGAGAATCTGTGGCCAAGGCGAAATAGCAATCTCTGAGCCAAACAGTAATAAAGTTACTGAAATGAAGCAATGCAGCTTTTAAAGTGAACTGTCATAAGTAGGAAATGGGTTTCAGAGTAATTAAAACCAGGGGCGAACCAACCATTAGGCTAAGTAAACTATAGTGTCTGGCCTCTGATAAAGCTATGAGTAGCTTTAATACAGTGTATGTTACCCAGTAAATGCTCTTTCAAACATTGCAAAAAATAAGGGATAGATTTAACAGTAATAGAGAGGCTACTGAGCAGTTATTTCTCCACAAGGGCCGACACTGATGCCGAAATCCAGCATTGCCTGAGCTCTGTGTGTGCACCTTTCTCCCAACTGAAGTGTTTGAGGACCGGGACATTCTCATGGAAACTGAAATGCTTTTTTACAAAGCTACTGTACTACCAACCTTACTGTATGCTTGTGAAACATGGGCCACTTATAAATGCCATCTCCAATTCCTCGAAAGATTCCATCAACGGTGTCTCCAAAATTTTTTACATATCACTTGGGAAGACAGGCAAACTAATGCCAGTGTACTGGAAGAAGCAAAGATCACCAGTGTCAAAGCAATGATTCTTCAACATCAACTTCGTTGGACTGGTCATGTTGTTCAGATGCCTGATAATTGTCTTCCAAAGCAACTACTATATTCCAAATTTAAAATTGGAAAGCTCAATGCTGGTGGTCAACAAAAGAGGTTTAAGGACTCTCTCAAGGTAAATCTAAAAAAATGTAGTATAAATTACGACAATTGGGAAACACTGGCCTGTGAGCGCTCTAATTGGAGAACAGCCTTTGTCATGAACTTTGAAGACGCTTGAACTTGGGACGAAAGGGAAAAACGTGCTAAGAGGAAGGCACACTTGGCAAACCCTCACCATGATCAACTCCCGTCCGGAAACCTATGTCCCCCCTGTGGAAGGACATGTGCATCCAGAATTGGCCTCCACAGCCACTTATGGACTCACTGTTGTGACCATATTCATGGAAGACAATCTTACTCAGCTACGAGTGATCGCCAAAGAAGAAGAGCTAGAGTGGAGAATCTTTTCCATTACAGCTACTGCAGCAGCAGCAGCAAGGTAAACAAGGGAGCTGAAGCAGTACTAAGGGGCAACCAAAGAAGAACCCATATCCTTACCAGACAGAAATACAAAATAATAATCATTCGCATCAGCATCTGCCACTCATCTGGCTGGGTTGCCCCAGCTACTCTGGGCGGCTTCCAGAGAACAAAGGCAGGGAACAGTCCCTAACTCAGCTGCTGCTTTGCATCTCCCTCTGGTAAGCATATATGGAATACCTTTGCATTCCACCACACCCACCACTCAGTGGTAACTGTAGAGTACCACCTCAGCCCCATGCTTACCTGACTGCAGTGCAGCTTTAAAGGAAGGAAAGCCTCCAGGGTTGCCAGATTGGGTACAGTGTGCAAAATGCCATGAACTGAACATACTTTAAGAAAAAGAAAATAATTTTTCAGCCCTTAAGCAATCCTTAATGAAAAAGAAAAAGGCCCTAATATTTATTAATCTGCCACTTGGCTGAGAAGAAAAATCAAGAACTCTCAGTTTGTTGAGGTCTAATAATTTAAAAAAGGAGACATGCAGTAACTGAATGGATCAGATCGCAACAGTCCCAGTGAAGTGGACTATTCACCACAGTGGAAATAAGCCAAATAGATCAGCCAGCATTACACACACACACACACACTTTGCACAAATTATGTTAATTATGTTAACTAAAATATGCAAATTAGCTGTGGCCCTCTGCATTTTCCAAGGTGACCCTCCGTGCCGAATGTGCTGCATATCCAGTGTACTAAAATATGCTGGTAGATGGGCAACTATCTTATCTGCTGAAACATTAAGAATAATGTATTCCTCCATACACAAACAATGAAATATTTTGAATAAAGCATCCAACAGAAACTTGTTCAAAATGAAAAAAAAAACCTCCTACTAGTTAAGTTGTATTTAAAGACTGAAATGTTTTCCAAGTGCAAGCATATATACATCAGAATTATTTACCTTTGCTGAACACCTAAACAGACATCTAAATATAAGAAAGGTGTACAAAATATATGTACTGAGAGGAGATTAATCTGTTTAAATCCCATTTTGATTCTGTTTTAAATATCTGAGCTGATATTTTCACATAATCTAAATTAAACCAAGGAAAGCAGGTATTAATATAAGAAATTGTCAATTATATTTATAGCCAGTGGAAACAGTAACCTGACAAACATGCTGCTGCTTAATTAAGATTTCAATCCTGTACAGTTAGAAGCAGAGACGCCTCGGTAATAGATATAAGGAAGTATGAATTTTATACAGGGTTATAGCAAACATAAACAATATTCTCCTTTTCTTTTTAAAAATAGCTAAATAGCTGAATTGATAAGAAAGACAAATACAGATTCTATGACTCTCTTTCCTAGCAACACATATTTCAGCAGTTAGATATACCAGCTAAATAGTGGGAAATCCTTCCTTGGTGTGCAAATTTAAGACTTGATCATCCATGAATGTATTAAATACACACACACACACACACACACACACACACACACATATACACACGTGTGTGTGTGTGTGTGTGTGTGTGTATTCCGATACTGCAGCAAAAAAATAAATAAATTACGCACAGGCTGACCCTTCCCCATGAATGTATGAGCAACAAGAGATACAGCAGTGGATTCACCAACAGGATAGACAATTCGTAAAATGTTTCTGCCACAACAAGGAGTGGAGGGGCAAGTTTTGAGTTCCTAAGAGATTAAGTCTGAGTACCCAATACCAAGTGCATAATATAATTCCCAATGCTATAAAAATAATAAATTCCTCCATCCCTCCTAAGGTCTCAAGTTTCAATACTTCTACAAAATGAAGATCTAAAGCATGTGTAGCTTATTCCATAATTCAACATGGTTATAGATGCTGCACCTGCCCAAATTCTTCCTCTGCACAACTAGTAAAGGTACAGGAACTCTGACATCTTCCTCACCATACATAGTCATAAATGCCCTACTCTCAGTGAATAATCTTGTGTAGCATATTGGCCTCACGTACTAATATGCCAATTCATAATGCTGAGAGCAAAACCAACTCATTTGTGGATAACTTTAATTGTGCAAACACGCACACAGATGACTAAATCTCAGAAGCAATGCTAGTGCAAAAACTGGAATGCTAACACAATATGCAAGAAATCTTTTTCCTGTTCCTCTTATGGCAAAAAAATAAGGAAAGAAAACTGGATTACATAATGGAAACAATTCAGAATAAAAACCAAAAGGCATGGAAAAAAAGGTATAGCTCAGAAGTAGTATGTTGGAGCTGAATCACAGGTCTTATGCTACTATGTTTGATGGCAGGACAATATTCATGTGGTCAACCCTTGTCCCTCTGATCAAATCTGAAAGCTTAAGACAAGGCATGAGTGAGATGGTTCCCATATGTTTTTTAACAGGCTGATGTCAAGGTTGATGTGCAATGTCAATTTTATTTTTCTCAGATGAAATGTTGCACTTGACAATACTGGCTGCACAAAAGCCACATCTACAGCAGTATGGCGAATAAGCATAGTGACATCTTGTGACTCTGAATGGCCCATTAGTAAGAGATTTAGCTGCCATGGGCCTGGTTGTCCACTATGAAAATATGATGTGCCCATACATATGTAATGCATTATTTTTAAAAGAAGACGTTCAAAGTATCTCCACTTGTTAATAAAATTAACTTCATAAATGGATCATTTTTGTCCTGGGAGTTTTAAGAGAGTTAGTTCTTTTTTTCAGTTGTGGCAGGGGCTTCTTGTGTCTTTGACTGAGGGGGTGGGATTCCGTTACCATAACTAATGTACATTACCAGTTTCAGAATTCTAATTGAGTTTAATACTGTTTCATGTTGCATTGAAGTACAAAATCAATACCATTTGTCCAGCAAAGAGGAAAAATGGAATCTATAAACTGCTCTTATTGAGTAATTAAACACCTATTATTGTCATGAGTAGTGGAAAAAAATGAATTTGGTAAGATAAATTTTCACAAGAAAACACTGCAGTGATTAATACCTCCCCACGTATTAAATAAAAATGACTGCCTTTTGTACAGGACTGCTGGCAGAAGAACAGGAATGAGAGAAGTAGTTGCCAGTACCACAATAACAGGCTAACCTTGAACTGAACTCCTTTCCTCAAGAAATTAAATGCTATAGCAGGACGTTAAATCCCTCCACTTAGAGCTCATTTGTGTTCCGTGTAACCTGCAGTTCCTGAAGAAAAAACTCATTATCTTCAAAAGGAGAATCCTTTTATAATTTCTTTACAAATGTGCATATTGTTTCTCCAAAAAAGTATTTCACATTAGAAGGATAAGGGTATTAACAGCATAAGCAAGCAGAGGGAATAAAAGAGAGAGAGAGAGACTTGCATCATTAAGATACCTTTTCTGTTTCCTGGACATTCTAACACAGACTACGTAGTGTTACTGGGGGAAATGGGATGTGAATGGGGGTTAATAAAAGTGTACCTTCACAGCAAATTTTTAATCTGTCAGATTGATCTTAAAATACCTCAATCTCTTTGTTGCTCCATGCCTGTTTTCTGCGCGCACAAACACACACACACAGCCCCTCCCCCAACATTTATCCTGATGGCTGCCTTTACATCCCTATTTTTCTTTTCACTTTCAACGATGCACTAGGAACAACTATCAAGTACAAAAGATGAATCTAGGGATGCGACACTTGTAAAGGGTAACCCTATTTCACAAGTGTGATGGGACAAAAAAAAAGGAAGGGGGGAAAAAGGCCACTGAAGCAATAACTGCTCACTGAATTACCATTAAATGGTAAGATTTATAATCCAATGTACAGTAAGTGCATATCTAATGGAGTTTGTCCTTTGAAAGAATATAAAGTAGATCTGCAAGCATACGGATGTATACAGGCTAGCAGTCATTCCTTGCTCATTTTGTTCTTAAAATTTAGAAACAAAGAATCTGGCCATATTGTATATATGTAAACAACCCAAAGTTTATAACCCAGAGTATAGTTAATTGTGGTTATGTCCCACTGAAACACATGGAATTGTGCCCAGTGCTGCAAGTGTAAATTAAGGGAATTAGGCATTTGTGCTGTACACTATGGCTTGCATTTTCCCATTTCACAATCCAAACAGATTCATTCTTCATAATGGGTAAAAAGGCAGCTTCATCATGACAAGTTAAAATTTCTCTCCACAAAATCATTAATAAAATGAGAAGCAATAATTCAGTATCTCACGTATTGTAAGCCAGAGTGAAGATTGATTCTTCTACCATACCCAAACCACCACACCCCATAGTAAAAATAATAACAAAAACTCTACTGTTCTAGCAGAATATCACTTGTAACATGAACTTTGTTGAGATCTATGTTGAAGAAAGAATAGCAATGTGCATTCGCACTGAGTCATCAGGTCTGCTGGTTAACAGCACTGTAACACCAATATACTTTGCTCTCGTTCGTATCAGGAAGAAAGCAATAAAATGTCTTCACCTTGGACACAACTGACTAGGCACTACAGCAATTGCTAATCATTTTGAATTTGTGAGAGGTTTCTGCACAAACCGCATTGAGATTAGCTGAAGTTGCATGGCAGTGTGTGTCTGCTGGATTCCCTTCCTTGGAAAACAACATGGCAGTTTGAGCATTTCCTTCTTCAGTCTTTCAGGCACTTGGAGGTTACAGAAGGATAAAAGATCAAACAAGCCCAGATATAAACATGCTCTTAATATTGGATTTTTTTCTTAAGGGACATTGCAAGACAATCTAAATGAAAAAACAAAGCTAGTCTTACTCTGTTTCCTTCTGGGTTCAAAGGTGGATGGGTTTGTTTGTTATTTAAACTCCAGCTTCTTTCAAATAGCAAAACTTGAAAATATTATCCTCAGAAAAGGAAAGGAAAAAATTGCAGCAAGCAACTTGGCTAATTTGCCTAAAATCAGAATTACATTTAGAAGAATAACAAACAGTGCCTGCCTTGTACTTAAAAATCTTGCAGAATGAAGTTCAGCAAAAGGTGAAGTAGCGGAATTAGAAAGATAAGTGGCTGTGTCATTGGAGACTTCTGCATTGGCAGCATCCAAAAACATACCTAAACAAACAGGAGCACTTTTTCCTTTCATACGTTAGGTTTTTCTCTCACCATCCACAGTGTAATTTTTAATTATTTGTTTTGTTGTTGCAAGTGTATTCTTAGGCTATGCACAAGCAGACAAAAACCTGGCATTATCTGAAATAGTTAAAAAGACCTTTTCTACGGTACAGCGAACCACAGAATTTCCAGCCGCTGAGGGAGGCCAGTTGACCACTTACATTCCCCCCCCCCCCAGCCCGGTGATAAAATTAATGGATTGTTTTGATTCATACAATACTTTTCATGCCTAACTGGGGGAAGCACACAGCTAGAATAAAGGAGGAGGAAGAACAATCATCCTGAAGAAAGCAGGTTCAATGTAAAGGGAGCTAATTGCAAGATGATTGCATTCTGCAAAACAAGAGGTGCTTGTGGCATTACATACCATCACAAGGGCTAGGCTTTTCCACCCTGCTGCTGCCTCTAAACAAGCTGATTTGCTAACAAAGTGGTCAGCACTCGCTCAGCATCTCAGTAGGTCCACTGCCGGCTGCTTTCCCAAGCAGAGAATCTCAAGCACCATTTTCCAATCTGATTACACGGCTCCTTATTCCGGCAGCCTTAAACCTTCATGGCAGTTTACCAACATTTTCATCACTTTTTCTTTTTTTTTTTACAAAGCAAAAGAACTGATAAGCTCTCAGGTACCCAGGATTTCATAGTCGATGGCTGGCAGCCAGCCAGCCAGCTTCATTCACCACACAAAACTCCATCAACATCACATTATGGTTGGAAAAAGAAAGGTGGTGTGTGTGTGTGTGAGACCAAAGCTTTGTAGTCCCAATCCCTGGCATGCTTACTTTGAAGTAAATTTCACTAAAATGCTTAAACTCAAAGCTTCAAATTTGCTAGAGCTAGAAGGGATGGAGATGGATGGAAGGATTGGCAGCCAGAGAAGGGATGATGACACCACATTAGAATTATGCAATATATAGAAAGCATCTACAAGCTTTGACTATGTGTAAACTGTTCCTTTTCATTTGTCACATCTATGCTATAACAAGCGCTTGTGAGAACGCTGCAGCCTGAAAGTATTTATTTGAAAAACAAAACAGAGTACATCTTTATATATATATTAAAAAACCCTTTTAAAAAGCCACAAGGCCTCAAGAGGTTGGTTGGTCCTTGTTGCACTGCAATAAAATTAAAATAGTTCACAACTTTCTCTAATGAATTTAAATATTACACTATTTAGATGAATAATGAACTTCGAATGTGTGAGCTATTAAAAAGCCATTAAAAACAACCACAAAATGCATTAGTACATTTAAACCGCATATTGTGTAAGGAAAAGAAAAACAAGTCTACAATGAAATTATCTGCTTGTTTACTCAGAAGTAAGCTCCACAGATCTACATGGAGCTCGCTTCCATTTGAGTGTTTATATATAGAATGGCAACCATACTTGATCAAGCAGGAGTCAAGTATGTATCTGATGCAGGCAATTTTAGTTGTATTCATAGATAGATAGATAGATAGATAGATAGATAGACAGACAGATCAGAGGGAAGACAATGTTTACGAGAGATTTTATTTTTACAAAATAGAATTACGTAAATGCCATTAAAATTAAATCAACCACAAGCTGCCAGACTAGTAATAGCAACTCTCTTGCCATAGGTCTTCCATCCTTACATGAAGAAGCAACCAACAAAAACAAGGGCAGTGTAAAAGCAGAGCACAAGAGCTCTTTTGTAAGCAAAATGCCAAATATCCTCTACATTTCCTGCCAGAAATCAGTTATCAGCCCAAGTGAAAATTGGGGGTGGGGTGCTTCTATTTAACTTCCCATAAAACACAATTTATTATAAAGGGGGAGAAACAGGGAGTTGGTGTGGCCAGAGAGAAAATAAGGAAATGTACAACTAAACTGGTGCGATGGCTCAGTACTCCAGATCAGCAGTGCATTGACCCTCTGTATCTCTGAGTCATTAGCTAGAATCCCAGCTCTGCCTTCAGGAGTAGGGAATTGAACTCACACACTGATGTGGGGAGATTCAGGATCTTGAGCATGCCAGACAGAAGGGTCATTCTCCGTGATGAGGAGGATGGTTGCCCCCCTGGGGAGGGAAAAAACTGGATGAGTGATTGTCGCACGATTCAAGCAATGGACATGCTGCTGACTCAGGGATGGACACTGACAGGCACCAATGCGTCAGGCCAGCTTGCTCCTAGCGGGAGTTGTTTTAGGGCACTAGTGCTGACAGGTACATGCAAAAGTCAAGGGGAAATAATATACATATACATGGTGTGTGTTTTACATCTCTATTTATACACCAACAGCAAGGACACACATACAATCAAGTCTATATGAATGAGAGTAGAAGTGGAGCACTGGCTTCTTCTGTTTAGCACATACAAAGCTCATGTTAAGCATTCATCTGTAGTGTGTGCTTGTGTTTTTTTCTGCATTAGACATTTAAGTCTGACACCCTGGTATGCGTGCATATATTATGCACACGTGTAATTTGCATATGTGTAGTATCATGCATAAATGACAGCCAATTTAAAATGCCATTCTCTAATTTATATGCAAATTCTACCTCTGATAAAATAAAATAAAACATATTTTAAAAGCAGCTTATAATGCTAACACATTATTCCCATGAATGATTCTCAGTAAACTACATATGCTGACTGCAGGGCTCTTTTTTATTATTAAATGATTTATTGGATAGAGAACGAACCCACTTAAACTACAGTGATTCGCATGAATCAGTAAATTTTCATGTTTCTAATTAAAATGTAAACAGTGTAATGAAGACATCAAGTTTTTAGGCAAATGTCTCTGGTGGTGCCACTTGGGGTATGGTAATTACTGGAGCAGATCTATGGATGCTCCTGAATCCTCTACAAGTCCAGATTAAAAGCATTACTGCTAAACCTTCCTTTTCCACCAGGGAATTGTGTACTCCAACCTATTCCCAGTTTGCTTACAGATGCAAATATGCACTCCTCTCTTTTAACTACTAGAGTGTGGAGATGGAAGTTTACACAAACCACATCAGTTGTGTAAAAACAATGACGGGATTTTCAAAAGTTTTACAGTGAAAGCTGATTTATACATTTGAATTGATGTGAATATAAAAGATAGAACACTTTCAGAAACGCTGAAAAACCAAATCAATAGAATTACTATATCCGAAACAGATCAATGAAGGGAAAATAATAGAAAATATTTCAAGCTAAAAGCCAAATATTTTTCAGAGGACTATCCTCACAGCCCTACAGATATAAATGTTTAGACTGTGATCTTCTGCCCAGCTACACACAAACAGCCGCCTTCCTATGGAAATGTTTAAAAATACATTTCCAAAAAGATCCATTTCTAAAAGGCTAAACGTGAACTATTGGGGCACAACTAAAACATAAACCCTATTTGGGTTGCAACTATTATTGTCTTTTATCATTTCTTTATTTCAGCCTGGATATCTGCATCTGAAATTTGTCAGAATTTATCCTAAAGCAAGTGCCCTCTCCTGTGTCTATCCAAGGAATACAAGTCTTGTCTCCTCACAATTAACAGACCTTGTCTGCTGCTGCATCTCACTCCCCCCACCCCCTGAATGAGCATAGGCTTAAAAAAAGAAAACCCCAACACATACTGTATTTGCTGCTAGGCACTTAAATAGTTGTCTCGTCCATTTTAGTAGAACACTGTACTATCCATGAAGCAACGCTTTCCCACTCTCCATCACTGTATTACACAGAGTTAAATGCTGCAAGCCAGAATAAGGATCATCAAATGGTCTAAAAATGTAACGTACACAAAGGCCTTAAAACACGCACACAGTTCAGATCCGGCCTGGTATAGTCAATGTCCATGATATTATTACATAAAGACTAAATAAGCATGTCTGCGTTGCTAAACTGCATTGTGGAGATAAGTGTACGTAACAAACGTGGGGGTAGGGAGGGGCGTATTCCACAGCGTATTTGCCTTACTAAAAGCAACATATACAAGCAACATATACTAATTGTATATTTAATGTCAGAATCATCTAATTTTTATGTTTCACTAAAGCACAAATTGTTTAGTTCTTAAAATTATGAACAACAAATTATTTTTCTACTAGTAGTAGATCCAGTTAGACAAACAGTATCCTGAAGGACAATTCATTTCACAGAAAATATGCTGAGTGCTGAAACAAATCATTTTTATTTACCTCAATGCTAAAAATAAAATTTCAACATCCCTGCCATTTTAATCAACTGTGTATCTAAGACAAACCTACACTTTCCATCCACGTCCGAGGCCCACATTAATCAGGTGTTAATTTTTTAAAAAATATATGCTCTAGCTGTTTGGAGTTCATTCAAGGTATTTCATTAGGAGCTTATTCGTTGAAAATAAACGTTCCAGCCATATCAAGTTTAACCCTTAGTGAAATGTGAATGAATGCTTTAAATGAGTAGATTAATAAAGAAAGGGATGTTCCAATTCCAAGCATGGCATGCTATGTATTTTTAAATTTGTCTATGCCAGATGCTGTCAGTCAGAACAAAAAACTGTCCAAGCAGACAATCTGTGTGTCTGAATGTTGATCATGTTGGAAAGTAAAAAAAAAAAAAAAAAAAGGAGGGGAGGGGAGGGGGAAGTGTGTGTGTGTGTCAAGGATTCATGGTCCTTCATCTTTGCAGTAGAGCAAACACGTCTCTCAGTATAGCGACAGACAGCTGCTTCCACTTTCTAATGTGCCCTAACTTAGATCACTGAAAGAATTGTCAGCACTCAGAGAAACACACAAAGATAACACAGCCAGCTGCCATGAAGGAGGGGGAAAACAGCACAGCTCAGAAGAAATGGGATTTGTTCCATTTGCATGATGCTGGCTCCCTTGGGCCCCTTTCTTTCAAATCCACAGCACAAAAGACAACACTTAACATATTTGCTTAAAGATGACAACCTCATGTTGATTTCATTTGGATGTAACAGTGTCAGGATTACAGATATGAGAATATATTATATCCGTAACAGAGACTGACAAATGTATCCATCAGTAGAACTGTCTGATTCATCTGCTTATACAGCCATTTTGCCATCCCAAGGGTTCCATCTAAGTAGTAACTTTGGAAGACTGAAGGTCTAATTTTATTACACCACATTTCAACCTACTAAACAATATTATTTCTAAAATAGATCATTTTTATTGGAAGTCTCCCTGATGAAAAATCCAGTAGACACCAGAGAATTTATGGACTGGATAGATCCCCCTGGACTCAATATATTGCTGGTTTTAAGCAACTTTCATTCTATACCATCAAAACTAAGATCAAAATAAACCAACAGCATATTTATTTTAAAAAAAAACACAGAAAAAAACAAATGTAGATTTTTTAAAAGTACCCATTTTAAAAAGTGTGCTTTAATCCAATTAAAAAAAAACCATAAATGTCACTTGATAAGTACATTAAGCTTACTTGGCCACTTAAAGGAATGTGTAGCACAATATCCCGGAATTCACACACCAGCACGTAAATATTTTGATAGTAGTAGTAACACATTATTGCATTGTACTCCCTTATATTTGGACTTCCAAAAGTGGTTTGTCTATACTACAGAAATGTTGATGTCAACAGACACGCACATGTCTCTGCGGCTCCCTTCTGCGTATGATTTTATAGATCAACCCCACCCCTTTCTGATCAAATTAAGCAGTTAGGTAATGGTTTCACTCCATTTCAAAATGCATTACTTTGAATTGTGTATAGGGGCTTGTTCGTTCTTTCGTTCGTCCTCTCTCTCTATCCCTCCCTCCCTCTCTTTCTTTCTCTCCCGCGCCACCCCCTCCCACTACACAAAGTGACTAGGCATAATGAAATGCTGGCTGCATGTCTTTGTCCAGAGGAACTCTAAACTGCTTGTTGCTATTTGCTGGCACACAAGAACTGCACCATAATTCACTAGATTGGAGCTGTTTTGTAAAATGGAGTTAACTGCTGTACGTGGAATTTCAGCCCTGCAGATGGTTACGAATCATTATTTTCAATTTGTTTAGTTTCACATAAGGAAAGGAGTATGGGGAGGGAGAGCAAGATCAAAATATATGCCGAGGTTGCAGGGCGGGGGGTTAGTGTACTGGTTTGCAGTAACACAGCATTAAAATAATCTAGTACAAAGTACAAACCTCGTTAAAAAAATGCTGAGTATATAACCCCACCTCCTCCTCTTCTTGCATTTTTAAGAAGTTGTTCATTGATCAGAATATTCAGTCCTAAAATCTGGACCACATACAATTTTTGTTTGTTTTGTTTTGGAAATGGGATTGTAAGGTCTCTAAAAGCAAAGTCATCCTCTGTCACATTTGCCATCACTGAAGCCAAAATCATTCTATTCCATAAGTGGCTCAGTTGTCTGAGTGTAAATGGAACATAAAGCATTTATGGACAAGTGCATATGGACAGAAATTGAGCTGTAAATATATAGGCAGGGCAAATATTGGAGCCTAGAAACATCTGGGGCTGAAACACAAGATGTGAGACTTATTCTGAAAGTGGCCACTTAATTGCACAGTTGATTTATACACTTGCTGTTTCGATTAAACAGAATATTAGAAATTTCCTGAAGAGAAATACAGAAAGTGAATGCTTTAGTAAGGATGATTATGTTTCGATCTCATTGCAGAATAGGTGAAGGGGGGGGTGGGAAATGGCACTCTCTCTAACACTTCTTTAGAAAACAAATGAAGCATTTCTACTTCAAGGACAAACACTTAAAAGCTTTTCTAAATTCAAACCAAAAGCATTATTCTACAAAAGGTGCAGCCACCAAGCTTCAGTGTTTGAGAGTATCCTTAAAGCATACTTTGAGCAGTTAAATGATTAAATAGCTTCACTTTTTAAAAAAATCTACATTTGATTATGTTGTTCAAAAGGCATCAACAGAATTAATGCACTTATCAGCATACTTATTAGTATTTCATTCTGGAGAGTTGATTCATTTGATTCTGGTGCCACATTATCACAGCTGCCATCAGAGGCATTCAGACATGCCTTCTTCCTAAGCAGTATTAAGGGGGCCATGAAGACCCTCTTGGTTCGAAAAGCCTCTGCCCTTCTTCACGGCAAAAGAGCCTAAAAAGAAAAGCTGTAAAAGCCATCTATTCAATAGGGTAGCTTAGAAAGATTAAGGGTTTGGGCTTTTAGGCAAGGGTGGTATATACTGTCAATCATCCACTGGGTTGAAGCTTAATTTTCTCACTGGATTATATTTTCGGATTTAGCAATTAAAATATTGCCAAAGCAGTATAAGATTACATGAACTGCTTGCTGGACCAGAAGAAAGGTCCTTTTAGCATTCTCGGCTCCAACTGTGGCTAACCAGATGCTCCAAGGATACTCATGAAGGCATGTTGGAAAGAGCTGTGTATTGATGTCGCCCCCCCCCCATATACTGTCTCTGAAATATGAATATCTAATTCTTGGCTCTTATGCTGACAGCTAGGTCTATCCTCCATGAATTTCCCTTACTCTCTTCAAAAGCAGGTTAGCAGCAAGCACCATTCATGTGGCAATGAGTTCTGTAAGTTAAGTGGAAGTAATTTATTTTGTTTCTCCTGAACCTACTGCTAAAAACCGAATTTGATGGCCCTAAATTTTGTAGATTGCAAGAGAAAATCTGAAACCATGACAGAAGTAACCATGACATTTCAAATCAACTGTATAGTGAAGCAATCACAATTCTTATTTCCAGCACTCTGTTTACAGCAGGGATGGGGACCTGTATGGTGTTAAGTTTCCCAATTCGTATCAGTCCCAGCCACTGTGGCCAATAGTCAGAGGTGTTTCTTGCCCTGAAACATCTAGAGGGGACCAGTTTTCCCACTTCTGAATTAAAGGAGGCTATTTGAAGAACGTGCAAGTCTAACAGAAATGATGTAGAAACAACCTTCTGACTTGGGTAATACCAGGTCAGCAAAATGTCACAATAATGTGGCAAGCTTCTGAGTTTTCCAGAATTTTTCATCAGGAAGGACACAACACAAAGGTTGAGGGACAAGAAAATTTTGGCTAGATGTTGTAGCCATGAGGCCAGCTTGTAGAGTTGGTAAGTACCTCCCAGATACTACAGGTATTAGGTTACACATCTTAGGGGCAACCTCTCTTCAGGAAACAAACAATACCAATAATTATCTGTGATCCCAAGAACTCATCTCCTAGGAATGAATGAAACCGTAATATTCAAAAGGAAGTATGGCCCTACTCAGGCATTTGGTTGAATATATGTGGGCCTAAAGTAGATTGGGGTTGGGACATGCATGCAAGTTCCACCACTAACATAACATATCTATGTATGCCGGCTCCACTTTCAGCCTTCATGGGTTAAGCATGAAGAGATATCCATTTGCTCAATATGTGAAGGTCAGAAGTGGAGCCAGCACATGCAAGGGTGTTGGGCTTGCCTGTGTGCCTCCAGCCCTCTCCACTGCGGAATACCTGAGTGAGGCTTAGATGCAGTGGGGGGTGAGGACATCTTTCTCCACAAGGCCAAGTCAATGGGTTTATGTTGCTCATTCTGGAGAGCAAGTGCCATTGCTTTCTTATAACACAATGCCATGCCAACACCCATAATTTCTCCTCATAATTGCCAATAACATTTCAAAACCCAATACTTAGCTTAACTACTCACTTTTAGGAGAGGTACACAAGACTGCAAAGGAGTGGCTGTAGTGTGACTCACTTGTTAAGTGAGTGTATGAGATACAAACACAGCTGCACACATATGCTGATTGCCCAGGGGGTGGGGAGAGATCTTCATCCCTTAGGTAAGTATTTCTGAACTTTTTGAATACACGCCTCCCCTCCTATACTCCTATACCAATCATTTGGTGTCCTATGTGCAGACATCTCTGAATGAAGTTGTGTGCACATAGCCTGCTCCAGAACATGATTCTCTGCAGACTGAGAAGGTAGAGCCACTGCAGCATTGGAAGGAGAATAGAGTAAGAGATCTGATCCCTCCCTATAAAAACCAAGCATTGAGAAAGATAAGCATGAAGCAGGGGCTCTTTCTATTCTCCTTTCTTCTCAGCTCACATTAGAACTATGGCTTTAAACTCAACATATTTCCATTGGCCCAATATGAATCCATCATTATTTTGCTTGTGGCATAAAACTTTTTCACCAGACACAAAATATACACCTTTGGATATTTCCAGCCAAAGTTCAACTGGAAGAATATGGTCCTATGAACAAAACACTTATCAATGGTGTGCTTATCAAATGATACGGGTGGTGTATTATATAGTCAGAGTAAGGCTACGTCTACCAAACTGAAAATAACTGATTAGTGAACTGAAACTTTCCTTTCCATCGTCGCTCTTACTCATCTCCTACCCCACCCCCTGCAAGCTCTCCATAGTTTACTTACCAACCTGTGCAGGTCTACTTCAGCTGAGTTTTTCAGGATGCTTGTGTACCATTCCTTTCCTAAGAGAGTATGGAATGTTGCCTTATACAGTACACTCCAGCAAAATTACCACCCTTTCTTTTAATGCATCCTTGTCTATATTTATGCACATCATGGTGACCCAGAAGAGGCCAGAACAGAGCAGGCTTATGCGTGTTCCACCATCATACATGATGACCCAGAACACAACCCCCGTGCAAACGGGTTGCCTGTACTAGGAATTCACTTAGTAAATTCAGATAATTCAAGCCCGGTCTGGAAAGCGAGATGATGGCCGCGTCATCAGCATACAACAACAAAGGGGTCCTTCTCATTCCTATTTTTGGAATGTGTCTATCTGGGTCCATTAAGTTCTCTTCTAGGTCATTTAAGAATAGACAAAACAATGTGGGGGCCAAGATACAACCCTGTCTCACCCCCCCCAGTCATCTCGATGCTGTTCGATAGCTGTCCCTGTCGACCGCATTGGACCTGCAGTTTGGTTCCATTGTACAGGGCTTTTATAAGAAAGAGAAGTCGTTTGTCCTGCAAAATCAGACTCAATTTGGACCATAGCTGGGATCTGGGGATGGAGCGTAATAAAGATTGATGATGAAATTCAGATGAGAAGTAAGTAATAGTTTGAAAAGAAAAGATTCACTCCCTGAAGACATACCCATCTCTTTAGATGTGGCAGGAGGAGTCAGTTCTGGAAGCTATACTAAAATGCATGCCTAAATAGTACCAGAACAAACAATAACGTAAAAAAAAAAAGGTACAAAACAACTAGACCAAGAGCAAACTCTTCACTCAGAATATGTAACCAAAGTTGGCAAAGAAGTGTTCTAAATGTTATTATTCTGCCAACAGTGACGTAGCAAAGCTAAAAAATGCCATGTACTAATGTAGTGTTAATGAACTTAAACTAGTTTTAAATTGCAACCTGTCAACAATGATCTTAAGCCAGTTGTAGGAAGCCCCTCCCCTCTGTCATCCTCCACTACCAGACTGATACCTTATGGGTTCATCTTTCCAGTCTCACTTTGGTGACATTTGTAAACTAGTGGAAACAGACCCAATTCATAGATTATAAGCAGCACTGGTTTTCTAGTAGAGTTTTAAGGAAGTAATTATGTGAACAGGAACGGCAACACAATTTCTTCTAAACCAAAGTGATTTGTTTCCAGCTAAACAAAGTAACCACATCACATGCACACACCGTTGTTCTTATACAGTATTACTGGAACTGCATTGAAACAGTGCAGCTAACATATAAATTTGTCTCTACCTTCTGGGATAGATACAAAAAAAAAGAACACCCTACTATCAATTCAGAATACTTAAGAGGACTCTACAGGTCAAATATTTTGCATGTTGAGAGCTGAATATGATAAATTATACGGGAAAAGTCTGAACAGTTGCTTTCAAGTAACTGTAACAGTAGATCTGCTTATTCTCTCAGATTACAGCAATGGCAAACACATACTGTATCTCTGGGCTTAATTCAGCGTTTCTCAAACTGTTTTCTCTGGGCCACACTTTCAGAATAATGAATTTGCTCAAGCCACACCAAACTTTTTATAAGAAATACATTGGGGGGGGGGACAACTCCTAGCAGTGATTTATTTATAAAACAGAACACAACCACTTTATAATATGATCATGGGCCATCCAGAAAGTATAAAGCAATTCAACTACATAAGAACATGAATCATTCCCAAAATAAAATTATAAACAAGCCTCTTACACATGTACCTTAAGTATGTAAACAAAGTCAATGAGAGTTGTGGGCTTGCTTTTTCCAGGAAATCTGATTTATATCGGGTCCAATTTGAGTCAAACAAATTCTTATCTCATCAACACAAATAAGCCTTTCTCCTTTCTCCTTTCTGATCTTTCATATTTATCAGAGTTGAAAATCCCTGTTCACAACAGTATGACATAGAGAACTGTAGAAGAATAGCCAATACAATTCTTCAGCAAATCTGTTCAAACAGCGATTCTGGATCACAACTAGGATTGTCCTCAATATCACTTGATACACATTGCTCTCATTGTGAAAAGGTATCTGTTCATATTCTGCAAATATTTTTTAAACTATACACTGCACTAAACTACAATGCACTGAAATGTTTTAATGTTTCTTTGATTGCCCTTTAATCTTGCCATCCTCTCCTGCCACACTGGTTTAATCCAGTGGCTTAAAGATAATTTAATAATGGACCCCTCA